GGTTCAGCACCCAGTAGTACTGTTTGACATGACGACCCTATGTTAAGAGGAGTTTCAATATCATGCTCATCTATGTCTATCGAGTTGGTGTGTGCTGTTTTCAGTGGAGAATTAAGCGTTGGAGTACTAGATATGCTATAGGCTAGGGCATTTTTATTTTTAGTTAAGCTGGAAACGTGGGTAGGGATCTTTATTTGACGTAAACTTGTGCATGTATCAGGTGTGCTTAATGGATGCAGGTGAACTAGACTGTTCCTATATTCATGCAAAGGGGGAGCCAGCACTAGCGATTTAGGAGTGTTAACATCCCTACCAGCTGTTATTTCAACGCTGACAGGGACGCAGGGGTTAAGAAATGATTAGGACTTTGTGGAGACCATGGTTTATTATTCCACCTATTGTTAGGTACTAGTTGTGTCCTTGCATGGGTTTCGTGTGCACTGCTTTTTGGATTAGTTCTCAGCAGACTTGTACCAAATATCCGATCAAAATTTATTTGTGTGCCATACTGCGGATACCCTGAGTTGTTGGTGGTCGAGTTCTGACTATTGCCACTTGTACAATTGAGGGTGGCATTGTTGTGACGTTGGTTATCGGTGTGGGCCATGTTGCTATTTCGCACGTTGTGGGTGCTAATACTATTGACCGTGGGGAGTGTGGGCTTATTTATACTGCCATTGTTGTTGTTGGCATGATTTGGGGTCATATTCTCCATTTTTTACCAATGGACTTATGGACAGGAGAGGACAGGGCCGACTTTCGGGCGATTTTGACTTTTTTCCGGGATTATTTGGTGACATGTCTATATCTACGGTGATAGGCGGTATAGTTCTATTGGCTATTTGATTGCAATCTTGTGTAATTGCGGTTGGTGTGGCTCCCTGAGGATACAATTCTGTGTGGTTTGAGAGGGGTGGTGCGGTGGGTTCTACGGTGTCTCTCAAAGAGTTGGGTATAATTGCTGCTTGCAATGTCCTATTATTTATTCCGCAATCAGACTCAGTGAGATGATTATATACGCGCCTTTCTATGACTGTCTTGTTCGCTGCAACCTTTATTAGTTTGTAATTTCTGGCTTGCAATTGGGTGTGTTGGGAGTGGATGAATTCTCTGACCTCTGCCGGTGTTTCGAACTGAAAACGAATAGGACAACACTTTTCATGTTGACTCTTCTTCAGCCTGTAGCACTTAGTCTTGGAGTTGGGCATTTTCGCCTCACTAAGTAAGATGCGCTGTACCCTTTTTAGTGCCTCATTGTCCGGAACGTTGTAGACAATAGCATTTAGTTTAGCATCGAGTCGTTTTGTTACTTCTGTAGTAACAAAGTTAATGAGGTTATCCACCTTAGATACCGATTCACTGTCAAGTTTGTTAAGGTCTACAGTTTTCATGAGAATAGTTAGAGGTGTCAGTTCACAGACCTGCGATCTGATATCACTGATCTGACCTGATAATTTGGATATTTTGATATTGGTATCGGAAATTCCAGGATCTACTGACTTATTGTTTTTTATTTCCCTTAACTCGGCCTTAAGTTCTCCCATATACAACTTTATAAAATCTTTTTCTGAAGACAGTACTGAAACAGAGCTTGATGGCTGGAGTTTCTCGATAATCACATAAGGTGTAGGGAGGGGTTCTGTATGAGAAGAGTGTACTGAATTTCTAGGAGTAGTGCTAATACTAGCTGACAGTGCAGTCTTATCCTCAGTTTCAGCTCGATGCTTGCGACATACAAGTGAGTCATGTGGCTCACTATGACCGTTTGTAGGGAGTGTGTTGCTTGATGTAGCAATCAAGGACGTAACATTAGTCATCAGATTTACAAGGGTTTGATTTCGTTGCTTTTTACTTTGATCAACCACAATTATTTGCTATGAGAGTTAATGGTTATAGGTATGGAGGAAGTAGAGTACTTGTGCAAGGATTACAACAAAATAAGTTTTATGTAACGAATCACACAAAAGTGTAACGCAAACGTTGAACGTTGGTTTTATTTCAGCTTGAATATCGCATCTGTCGCATACTAAATTTTTGCTTTATGTATTGATTTCGATCTTTATGGAGATTGAATATTTACGCAAATCATTTTGTCCTTCTGCATGCTTTTTATTCTGACCGCATATATATGTTAGCAATGAGAGACTAAGTTTTTAGACTTTGGGCCTCTTAAATCTTAATGGTAGATTGCCTCAAAATTAAATGTTTGCGTCACGAATACTCGAAGTATTTGTTAAAAGGAACAGTTACGCAGTGTCTTCACTATCTTCGATTAAAACACAACTCGATTCTGGACGATTTGATTTCATAACTTCTTTGCAAGTTATCAGTTCAGCGTCTATTTTAATGTATTTGGTGATTTCAGAATATGGCTGAAAGGAACGGTACGTGTGTGGGCAACATTATTTGGAATAAATTCAAAGATATAGATGAACTGCTGTCAATTAAACAGTAAAATCTTCACGGAAAAAAGGAAAGATTTTTGAACTGCAGCATGGAACTTGGTAGGAGATGGTATCCCCGAAATCAGAGAAATAGTTCTTTAGAAGGTCCTATACTTGGGTGTACCAGAAATTATCACTAACAGAAGCGAAGAATAGTGCTATGATAAGGTGGATATTATCAACAGCACACAATATTTATCATGTACTCGCTGACTAGCTGAACTTCGTTAAGATTGTCAATAAAAGACAGACTGGAACTTCGACGATTTGTTGCTCAATTGACGTCAAAGCAATCTAGCAAATCTCGACCACCAATTTCACTGTTGGATAATATGAATACACTGAAAAAACTACAAATAAACATCAATACAATGATTATTAATACTTCCGATAGTTTTGCTCTGACTGCCAGCAAAGTTTAAGGCACGTAGGAAATTGTTGCCTTCAGAGAAAGTGAAACTAGTTCGGATAGACAAGGTCGCTGGACATTTCTTCATTCTTCACCAACCGTGATAGGGTCAATTACAGTCAGCTAAAGAATATAGCGACTCATCTACAAAGTCATCGCCTGAGTGTGAGAGCTGTGTTATTGGAAGAGTCCGATTAGCTACAATACGTGGAAGCTTAGACACTTTGCACTTTGTGAAGTTTGAAACAAATGTGGTGCAATCGGCTCTCATAAGAATGAAATAATCCCAACAATATACCCTGCTTTAAGATCATTACGTTATCCATCAAGGTAAACCACGGAGGGTAACACGTCAGACTTATGGCTGCCCCAACTGCATACCATCTAAGTTTTGCGCGCCTGGAGCTCTTTATCAGCAGCAGTAAGTACTGGCACTTCGGTCGGATGCTCTCAACGGATTCTTAGTAATCCTGCAGAAACTCGTGAGCTGCGTTCAGTAGACCACCTCGTCCATCAAAATAAGATTCAACACACAGCCTGCACTTTAATCGATGAGTTCTTAGCTGAACTGGTCCTTGACATTCGCAAATTATACCCTGCCCAATTTTTATACTTATACGGATGAATTCATTCGTTTATTTATTTAAGTTTTGATCACCCACATAAATGTTTGTTCTTTTTCCTTTTTAAATTCACAAATTTGAAGTTGGTCGCTTTTTGACCACACTATATTTTATATTTATATTTTTTTATATTTTTGATTACAGCTTGATGCCATACCGTATTTTCAGTACAAGTATGGAATTTTCAGCATGGATATCGGTAGCCCAAATTTCGCAGGCCGACCATAGATATCGGGTGTGCGTCAGTAGGGGTTCGAACCCCGGACCATGTGCATGGTCGGCGAGAGTTCTAACCACTCTGCCACCACTACATGATCAGTGGGTGAAAGGACACTATTAATGGGTGTACACCTGAACTTGTCCTTTTTACCTGTTTATATTCCTCCTTGTCGTAATGTTCTGATTACTCCAACTGTTACATTCATTCCACTTATATTATCATTGATATATATTTACACTATATTAGCCATATATATCAATTTCAAATCTCATTTGCTATGTTTTTTCGTTTCCTTTCTTTTTTCTTTTTAAGTCCACGTATTCCACATTAATTTTATCTGTTATTGTCATTATTTTTATCTCTCTTTCCGACCATATCGGACGACTAACGGGTGAAAGGATGAACTTCATTCACATAAGTGACACGATCTTAACAAACTGTATAACACAAACCACATATAATCAACCCCAGCAGCACTCCTCTGGGAGTCACTTAAACTACGACAGTTGAGTGGCGGAACTAACAGTGCAGAAATTTACCGAAGACCAGCAGGCTTTGAGTTTTAACCAAGTAGCGAGCACAAAGAAGTCAAGCCGGCATACAATGGATTGTAAAAAGGGTACTGGATATTGGACTAGCGCCAATCCCAATAGCGTTGTCGTCATAACACACTGTATACTAAGTGAAACATAACCAGTCTTCTATATCTCTCCCCTCGGGATCATCAAGGGATATAATATACTAGTAGCAGTACGAAATACACAGAAGATCTGGAAGAATTACCTCACTACCAGGAACCGACTGCGAAAAAATTATCTCGGTCGATACTATCCCGTAGATATAATGCACTTAAGCTGTAGCCTAACTAAGTCTGAAATGTAAACATATAGTTTTACTGCATATCTGTGATGTCTGTTTACAAATTTTTTAGACTGTATGGAAGCTGCTAGGGCGAAATTTGCTCCTAATTCTAAGCAGGTTCACCATCGTGGTACCTTTCTCCCTTTTACCGCCTTCAGTGAACCTACAGTAGTCGAAAAGATGATGTGTTATTGGGAGAAGAGGTAGAACAGTTACGATACGGCCATGGATCTAAGGGGTTAGTGCCATCCTTTCACAAACATATTTGCTTGCATATTGGCTCTTTGTACTGTTTTCTTTTTTGTAGTTCAGATTTGTATTCTCAAGGTCGTCAGTCGGACTGCTGTTTGTTGTTTGGTAGGGAAATGAACTAGTGCGGAATTCCTAAGATCTCTGTGTGTATTTGAACCTAGGCTTTTTTATATCATAACCTGGAAGAGCAGATGAGATGTCCACAGACATGTGGTCGCACTAATCATACGAATATTGGTCGAGGTATTCACTTAAAGTTTGGTAGTTGTCAGCAACAAATACGTAACATCTACAGATTTCTGCAGCTTTATTCACGTTTAGATGTGTAAGTAATAATAATGGCATTCTTTCTGATTGATTCACAGTAAAAATAAATGTAACTGTAATAATGAAAGTATCCAGGCTTTCATCCATAAGACCAATAAAATGTTGAACGAAGATTTGGAAAGTTCACTTATGAAGGAAGTAGAAGATGTCCTGAGTAAAGCACACATAACTCTTTTACCACAACAAGCTCAAGAAAAATCTGTCCTCTTATTAAAATCTGAGAAGTCCATGTTGAAGTCAGAGCGCAGAAGAACCACCTGTGAAAGCAAAACTCAGAGAGAGATTAATACGACTGTAGTAAAACAGAAAAAGTGTGTCCCTGTACATATGAAGGCTCCGTACAAAGCTGATATTTTGTCAAAACGGTAATTAAATGTATTCATGTCTTGATATGCTAATACCTATTTATTATACAGCCAGCCAGTTAAACCGTTCAGAAAAGCGGAAAAATATGTTGGTGAAAGTAAAGAACATGAAATCGTGGAATGTAGTGAACACAAAAAGTCTGTTCAGCAAGAGTATGCTCAGAACATATGCGTTTACTCGTTAACTTCATTTTTAAAGGCACCTTGTAATTTACTCACATGTAGTGTGCACTTGCAGTCAGATTCAGACAGCAGCGTTGGTTAAGCAGGTGGACAAGGATTTTCATCGTCTGCGGACTTTAGTCCTGAGAACAGAGCAGTTAGCAAGATGGGAAGATGGAGGAATTCTGTTGAAGTTATATCGAAAAGTAAGTATTTCGCGTGTATGATATTCATTGTGTTTACTACACGGAATGCTATTCTTTGACCACATGTATATATGTCGTGTTAAACCTTTGTGTAGCAATTGTTTACGATGTTAATAGTAAATGTGGCAGTTGATTACGATTATTATTTCAACGGCTGTTAGCACACAATGATAAGTTTTTGATTTTCGTGATATTTTGAGCAAGATTGCTGCCCATGATCTCAACAATTCGTAGAATTATTTTCAATCCCTAGAACTAAAAACAATTCCAAATCCTTATTTCCAATCACATTCCATCACAAAGTGAAATCATTTGACGAAATCAACTAAGTCCCTACAAACCAACACTCCTCTTGTTTTGAAATTAATATTGAGCAAAAACAAAGTTGTAAAAGACGCTCATCGTAGTCGATTTGTCGGCACGCAACTCCATAGACACCCGGAATATACTTTTCGGTCTAGCTTAACTGTACTACTCAAGCATGAAAGTCAACTGTCAGGATAACTTTCTGCACTTCTGGCTTTCTACCAGCAAACTGACAGATCCTTTACATCATCCGAACTGTTGTTGCCTAAGTGGACATTATGAAAAGATATCGGTGAGCATCACTATACTTACTTTACTTTACTTCGGCTATCTCCTACGGGAGGATGAGCCGGCTTCATGAACATCTCGAATCATCGCTGCCCAGGCGCGGCGATCTGATGAAGAGAGTTCACGAAGTTTCATGGGAATTTGGTACGAGTGATGTCCCCAGAATCGCTCGGCCTTTTGTTTGAGAGTGCAGCTCTAGCCTTTACACAACCAAGTGTGACCTACAAGGCAGTAGGAGTGGAGTAGGGAGTCCACTATCCATTAGCAGCCGCTGACCGGAGTTCAGTTCAGACGCCTTTTTGAATGGGGCCAGACATCCAGGACATCCAACAAGCCCTTTGTCCATACGTCTGCCGGTGAGCTCCAGTGAGCTTCATACGCCAGTCGTTGGAGGTTTGGAGTCAGGGTTTAGCCATCTCCCCTAGACTGTCATCCAATGGACAGTCAAACCGGTGAAGAGCGCCGGGCATCCGCTTTCATCCTCTCACTTTGGTGAAAAACACCTCCGCCACGTGAAGGCAGTGAGTAGGACTTCCTCAGGAGAGGCTATGTAAGACGCCCGGTCATATGGGAACATTTCAAGAGGTGTGCGGAGTGGTGGCCAACCCGCAGCGCAAGGCACCCACTCCCGACCATCCTGAGGCTTTGGAGGCATCACTATCCTTCCTTATTATCACTCTTTAGCTTAAGTCATCGTTTCCGGACTGTGGCTGCCACATTCGAGACCTCCACCTACTTCAGCCTGAGTGACAGTGTAGTATCATTAGCTTTCACCCAATAAATATGACTCGCGGTTTAGTACATGAGTAATCTTCCGAGTTGCTGGATTCTGACTCATTCTTCTGAACCCATTACGCCGGACAACAGACAAATGACTGCCCATTTGGATACAATCAAGTATTGATTTTTCTATCCTGGAGCTCAGTGCTATCCCAAGGTCATTAGGCCTCAGAGAACAGACTTTATGACATTTGTGGGTTGAATTTTTCAGATGCACTCTGTTTTTTGAATGGGAGTAAGTCTTTCATTAAACCCGTGTATTTGTGTGCATTTCAGGGATACAACGCACATCGAAACCATGAGATGCTGGAGTTTTGCCTATTAAGACTTGCTATCAAGTTGTGTATAAGATTTAGACATAGGAATCTCTAGTATGAAGTTGTTAGTTTAGTCCTAAAAGAATAAGGACAGTGTTCTTGTGACTCAAGTGGTTAGCACTTACGAGAGGAAATGACGGAGAGGAAGCAGAAAGATGGTCTTATGAGCACAAGTACTTCATGTGCTTAGTGGAGCTTTTGACTGCCAACTGTGAGTTTGTCTCGCGACTACACTTGACACTTGACAACAAAACACTAAGTGCAGTTGTTTGAGGCTGTTCCGCCAACCTGTACGGAGAGCCGTTCCGATATTGACCAGGTTAAGTCTTTACTGGATGTAACTCAAAACAAGCTTGCGGATTTAGACCCCATATCCTGCCTGTTAGAAAGAAATCTAAAAATGTCTCCGGACAACCTAAATAAAGCGGAGGTGGTGAAGCCTATGGCCTCTTCTCACCAGGCTATAGTTTACAAAATCCCAGACTCAATGCCTCTGAAGACTACAAAACACAAAATCCTGGATTGTTGCGGCGTGGCTAGTGTGCCATGTGTATGCAAAAGAGTTCGTAAAAAGTCGACTCAGGCTAATTGTCCCATCAATTTTAAGTTCAGTAATTCTCTTGATGCCAGTAAGTTTACTAAATTTTAGGATCACTTAAGACTGAGTAGCAGTTATAAATCTGTAACCATAGCTCAGGATGAAACACCATATCAGCGCAGAATAATGTGTAGTAATAACCTGGTCACCTCCTCTGGCTTAGATTTGCTGAAAGTGGATCATGTACAGCAACAGTCTACTATAATATATATTTATTCCTGTTTATGCAGGAACATACCAATTGTACAGGCATGGATAAGTTATTATATAAATTACAGTTTGTTTGTTATTTCTAACATTAGAGTGAGTCAGAACAGTCTGCAAAATAGTCTGTCTGTGTAACACATAAAGAGATATAGAAATATTGTCTTCGCATTAACAAAAAACCCAGACTTCAGATGAATGTGATACAAATATCTGGGAAAAATAAAGCTTGAAGTCAATTCTCCTATAAAACTTTGTTGTGAGCAGCATCCGTGAGATAAAGTTCATTGATGTATTATTTTGATTCAATAATGTATTTATTCCATTTTTGTCAGCAGTCTTATCGTAGTTTTATAATAGGAAAGAAATTTGATCTTTGATACGAAAATTAGATAAGGTAATGTTAGATTGTTTTACTGCATCAAATGAGGTCAATTCTAGAACTATCCATTTGCGCCATTTGCGTCAGCATGGCAGACTGTACATGTAAGTTGAGTAATACATTGATAACTGTTTGAAAACCAGTTGCTTCTTTATTTCAGATCAAGAATACTCCTTGTACAGAATGTTAGCCAGCGTTTTCAAGTGGTTGCATCGGATCGTTCATGGAATTTGAGTTTGAATTTACATAAATGGTCATTTCAGTTTGGATGTTGGGTTGTTCGACCTCAACCAGGAGGTATATAGAAGATTAAGCTCAGCAGGGAGATAAAGTATGTAAAAATGAAGAAAACATTAATATTTTATGTATATATAAATGTATATCATTGTATAGTAAACACTACCCACAATCTAGTTGTTTTTCATGAATTTTTGCGAAGTCTTAGAGATTATTTACTGTCATAATATACATTAATGAGCCTAATCGTTATGATGTACTAATAGCTCATGCGTTTTAGAAATAAGTGGTGCGGTGTGATTGGCATAGTCACTGGGATGAAACAGTTTATATAGCAAGTGTTTGACGGTTATGATAGAGTGACAGGTCCTTATTTCTAGGGGTGAACTGTTCCAGATCTTAGAATACATGACTATGAAGAAGTTTGCACGGGGTGCTGTTTTACAGCTTGTCCTAGATACTGTGCATGTTTGGTTACGCAGGTCGTTGGAGCCTTCCGGTGAGAACTGTATCTCCTTGCTGTCTGAGAATGATATTTTATGCAAGACTTTAAAGAAGAATGTTAGGTTAATGCTCAGTCGTCTCATCCAGAGTGGGTCGATACCTAGAGTTATACACCTTGATATGTAGTCCTTTTCGCAGTCAAATCCTAGTAGTTTAGACGTGAAGTATCGTTGGACACTTTCTTTTTTAAGCTTGTCACTTACGCGAGTGCTGCTGAGAATAAATGGACAATATTCAAGTAGTGGTCTGACACAAGTTTTATATAATAATAGCTTCGCCTCGTAGTTGTGGAAATTCCTGAGTATGCATCCTAGGAGCATCCTCGATTTACGCGTCTGTGTCGCCACTTGCTCAGAAAATGTCAAGTCACTAGAGTACCTGAGTCCTAGGTCAACAACACTTTGGAGTTTAGGCAAGTCAAGAGATTCAAGTACCAGTTTAATGTTTATTGAGAGTGCACCGAAACAGATCCAACCACATTTTTTAAGGTTGAATTTTAGGTTCCATGTGGAGGACCATGCGGTTACTCGATCTAGTTCTTCCTGAACAGCTTTCTGAAAGTACCCTAAGTCATCACAGTGGAATGTGTAAGCTACTTTAAGATCATCTGCAAAGATAAATGGTTTGCCAAGTGAGAAACAGCTGCATATGTCGTTGACATATAGAGTGAATAGGAGGGGGCCTAAGACGCTACCTTGAACTACTCCAGAAGTGACTAGAGTAGGTTTAGAGTTTACAGAACCCAGTCTAACTACTTGGGACCTATTGTTAAGGAATGATTCAATCCATCCTAATAATGGGTTACTTATTCCTAAAGAGTTCAGCTTATTTATTAGAAGCAAATGGTCAACGCGGTCAAAGGCTTTGGATATGTCGAAGTAGATGACTAGTACTAGTTGTTGTTTGTCTCGACTGCTAGTTATATAGTTAAAGAAGTCAAGGTGACATGTCATGCATGATCTGGATTTTAGGAATCCATGTTGTTTGGACTTAGAATATTGCAGCTGAGCATATGTTTGAGGAAATCATCTTTAACTATTCTTTCAATAATTCTAGATAATATGGGTGTAATATTGATTGGCCTATAGTTGTTGACTTCAGTTTTTGATCCGGATTTGTGTTTAGGTACTATAAATGTCGTTTTCCATTTATCTGGATAGGTTTGGCTTTCTAGGGACATTGTAAAAATCTTAAGTAATAAAACGGAAATGTCAGAACCACCGTGTTTATAAAGATACGATGGTATACCGTCAAAACCGGCACTACTAGAGCTTTTAAGAGTATTGACGGCTTGGTTAATATTAGAGTAAGTGAAATGAACTGTAGTGATTTGTTTCAGCGTTGAAGATGAAGGGAGTTCTATTGTAGATTGTAAACCGAGAAGTGGACTTGTAGGCTTAAGGTAGTTAGCTGCAAACGTCTCATTAAACAGTTCACACATGTCTGCATGTTTGCTGTATAGTTTGCCCTTGTTTATAAGGAGAGAAATTTTATGGCTTTGGCGATTCATGCGTTTCTTTAGGATTTCTGTGAGAGCACCTACTCTGGTGGTGCTGGCTAGTGCCGTGCATTCTTCATTTCTCATACGCAAGTTATGAGCTTGCGAGATGGAGCTAAGAGTACTAAGTATTGACCCTAGTGTACTAAAGTCGTGTCGCCTGAAGTAACTTGTTGACAGTCTTTTCAGTTTCCTACGATCCTTTGGCTTTATGAATGTCTTTCTATGTGG